CCCCCCCCCCCCCCCCCTCTTTCTTTCTCTCTCTTAAGAGCAAGATCGTGATTCTGCTTCCACAAGGAAGGCGCTAAATAGACGTAATTAAAACGGAATTATCAAGTAATTATCGCCTGGACTTCCCGACGGAAATATATGCCAGAGGTACATCACCGCTCGACGGGCGTAACTTCTCAAGTTTTCTCATTTCGAGTTCGTTAACACGCGAAACTGCGGCTTACTTGCAGCCGCCATCCACGAGGTCAGGACTCTGCTGACTTACGTGTAACATGAATTATGCAACGTTATTTTAAAGTAGATTATCCTGCACCGAATTACATAATCCTGCCCCGACTCCGATTCGCACCACACAGCGACAATGATATCCGCGGCACAGGATATAACTTATCTCCCGATCACTTGTGTGTGTGCACGCGCGCGTATGATTTTACTACCATTTAATCCTTTCGCTACTAATTCTGTTGTTCAAAAGTACAATTTTTTTATTTTTACTTCGTTATATACATTAGTAGTAGTTTTATGTTTAATGTCAAAAGAATGAAGTCGGGATACCAATGTTCTACTGGAATCTTTAGGAGAACGCTTTTTGGTTTACGCTTTCCCAAAAATTTCAGTGGAATATCGATATCCTTTTGGCATCAAGCATAAAATTTTTCATTCTTTTGTTAAAACTATATTATATACACTGAGAGAAAAAAATAGTTGGAATAACTATAATCTCACTATATTTTATAGTTCGTTTTGGCCTCAAACATATATTTATAGTTCATCTAAACACGAAGATATAGAATGAACACACATTTATAGTCACCATCTTATTACTCTATGTGTATAGTAAAGCACGTTTTGGGAATATAGTTACATGTATCCATATTTTCCAAATATTCCAATTGTATTGACTATATAAAATAGTTAATTTCTTTTACCATTTAATATTTGCTACTTTACTACGTTTTTTATTTCAAATAATTATAATTCTTGGTAAAAGTTTTACATGAGTCAGTTATACTATGCTTATATTGTAAATATTACAAACATTATGGTAACATTTACTATAAAAAAGATATTCCTAACTATAATCTTTTTACTATGCCATTATAGTTCCAAATATCATACATTTTTCTCTCAGTGTATGCATATATTTAATGAAGTAAAAAATTACACATATTTGAACAACAAAATTAGTAGTAAAGGGATTAAATAGTAATAAAATCGTACACTCGCGTGGGATTTTTGTTCCAACGGTAATAAGTGGAGTAATATCTGATGTGTTTTGAATGCCAAAAAAATTGTTTAGTCAATTGAATGGAGAAAACGCGCGTCCTCGGATATATACGTCTCACATTGGTAACGAAAGGGCTAAGGTTAATTTATTAATTTCTTAAGGCAGCCGTTCTTAGTTTTAATCAGATCCCGAGAGAAGAAGAAGAGAGGATCGTTATTAGCGACGGTGTGTAATATAGCATGACGCCAAGTTTTAACGGGACGTACCTTAACGCAAGAAAATGTGCCGGCTCGCGCTTAATTAAACGCATAACGGAGGGAATCCGCGGCAACCGTAATCGCGATGGAGATAATAACAGGCCTAATCGTTCACGCCGAACTTCAACAGTGATAACGCGCGAAATGGCTGGCATGCGAAACACACATACGTGTAACGTGGTCAATCTCGCGGCCAGATAACGTATACGGCCGCGATGTAGCCCGAATATACACGTTACCACGTTCATATCCGCGCGCACACGTATAAACGCGGCACAATAAATCTCTGCGATTTTCAAGGAGGCCCCAGGAAGTTCGGCCGCGTTTGCCAGTTATGTTTCGCCTTATCTGCACGGCGGATGAGCGGCCGATCTCCGAAATTTGATAAAACTCACCGTTCACGCACCCCTGATCACGCAACCCTATCGTTATTCTCGAAACAAGTCGACCACCTGCGGTGAAGATACTTCGAATAGATTGTAGACGCCGTGGAGAAGGGTCCGCGATCTATAGGCGATCATGAATTAGCGTAGATCACCCACAAAGATAGAGAGCTCCGGCTACGATAAAGTCCCGAATGAAAACCGACAGTAACATAAATTCAACCTAATTTTGGTAGATCAGTCCATAACTTTCCCGAGTCCGCCAAGATCGAGGGAAATTTTGAGAGAGATGGGAGAGAGAAGTGAAGGAGTAGAGGAACTATGTCTGACATTCTCGTGAGCTTAGAACAGCGCGATGAAAGCAATTAGCGCTGAAATTGCGCTCGTAACTTTCCCGACACACTCGCATACCGCCAAAAATTTCCAGACGGCGATCGAGTGAAATGGCTGAGGAGCAGCCGAGGTACAAATTGATCTACTTCAATGCGCGAGGTCGGGCCGAGCACATTCGCTACATATTCGCCTACGCGGGAATCGACTACGTCGACGAGAGGATCACCAACGACCGCTGGCCCGAGCTCAAGAAGTGTAAGTACGAAAGATTTCACGTGGTAGAAATAACACCAAATTCGATAGCCGAGTTCGTTCCATTCAAAAACATATATATTTTTATTCTTAGCGCGGAATCCTCTGAATCCTAAAATAATTTTACTCTTATACCGGGGAGACCGGGGCTGTATGGCTCCAGAGATATGTCGCTCATGTGCTGCTTTTTTAATATTTATCTTGAGAGGAATAATGGGTACAAAATCGCGAAATAGTCCTTTTAAAACATAAATACTTTTTCATTAAAGTCGGAATAATATTACAGTTAAGAAAAATTTGATTTAGTAATAGCAAAGTAAATTTTCAAGTTTCTCGAAACTTCGTATTAATAATATTCTCTGTTATGACTGAATAAAATTAAATGATGTGTTACTAGATAGAATGAAATTTCTTGCAAATATATGATGTATTATTTCTGATAATAAATGCAATTTTCATTCATAAAATGATTGGAATAAAGTATATAGGTGAATGAAGTAAAATTGGTCCATAATTAAAAACCGACAGAGAAGCTATGGAGAACTCTTGTGGAGATTTTGGAACTACTAATCAAGATACATACGTAGCCTTCTTTATCCTGCGATATTGAGGAACTTAACCCGACTCTTTTGCCGTATGTTCGTATTTTGGTTATTATAAAATAAAATATACAATTAACAGGTCGAAATGGACATAGAAAAAGGTTGCTTCTATCATGTTTATATAGTCAGTCGTAATAATTAGTTGTTTGAGAAAGTTGTAACCTCAAAATTCTAAAATACATTTAGCCCCGGTCTCCCCTATTAAACCGCGCCCGCTACTTCCGCCTTATAAGTAAACCTACCCAAAAGTTACACTCCGATTTCTGAATACAAGATATAGGCATTTTTGGTTTGCTGATTATGAATATAAAGTCACATATGTAAAATTATTTGTATAAATAATAAAATATTTAAACAAAAAATATGTAAAAAGTTGAAAAAAATTATTTACATAAATAATCTCTCGATTTGGCCGAGATTCGAACCATTTTTGACTAATTTAGCATAGATTTAAAATATTTAATAACTATGCTGATTTTGTTAAAATTTTAATTAAAATTACCGGATTTCGATTTGGCTTAGATTTGAACCATTTTTGACTAATATATATATTATATATTTAGCAAATTATTTAAAATATAAATATAAATTATATATATATATATATATATTATATATATATATATATATATATATATATATATATATATAAATTATCTAAAATATTTAAAATATTTTGGTTGGAATCTCGGCTAAAGAAATTTAGAATGGTTCATGTCTCAGCTATGCCGATTTTGTTAAAATTATTTAACTGTATCTTATATTTATTTTTATTATTTACGCATTTTTATTGTACTTGTTGATAATAGGAGTAAGAACATTAAAAAGCTATAAACTGCCCGTCAAAGTAAAAAAGTAATAATGAAAAAATATGACCTAAATATTTGTTGTACTTCTACATTTGTATCAAATTAGAAAGAAATCGGAGTATATCTTTTGAATAGGTTTACTTGTTAGTCGCTATTTTATTTAGTTACTTGATAAAAGCGGTTCTTATTATATGTACAAAATTTGTAGGAGATAATCGAAAAAGATGAATATTTTATGAGAAATTTCATATCTTATGTTAAAAAAAGTATCAGAATAAATATAAGATATCTCTCAAAATATTTACTTTCAAATATTTACAATGGTCTTCGATTTTTCTAGTACTTTTATAAGTAGAATGATTTGATTAATGTTTAAAATACCATTTATGACGAAGTTAAAGGGTAACATAAACTATATTAAAATCCCAACTTAAAGTACCTATCATCTATTGTTATTAACTCAGCTAAGTCCCTGGACGTGAGTTTATGCCATTAAATCGAGAAAGTTCGAATCTATCGACCAGTACGCGATTCACTACTAGCCGTGAAGGATCCAAAATGGGCAAGGTTCTTTCTCTGTTTCTCTCTCGCGCACGTGCACCGACGAAATTAACTCGACTGCGAAACTGTACTTTAAACTTGGAATAAATCCCAAATAAAAAAAGAAATAAAAAAGCAAACTTAAAAGCAACAATAGAAATATTAACACTTCCACGTCTAATAAAAAATTATACACACAAAAATACATACTACATTCAAGTTAATGTTACTTGTTTCAAATCTCATAAATTTATATATCCGCATAATATCATAAATTAAATATATCAAATTCAAAATAATTCTGAATCTTAGTAAGTTTAGTAAGTATTTTAATCAAGAATGTAATAAATGGAATGGGAACAAATATTCGCTTACTACATAAAGTCAAACCAGCTTTTTCGATAAAGTTTTATAATATTCTGATAAAGAAAATAAATTGTTCTTTCGAGTACATAATTATCGAAAAAAGTTTGACTTTATGTAGTAAGCGAATAATTGTTCCCATTCCATTTATCATATTCTTGATTGAAATATTAAACTTACTAGGATTCTGAATTATTTTGAATTTGATATATTTAATTTGCTGATATATAAATTTATGATTTATATATATATCTATATAAATGAAGTTTCCGCCAACTTATGATGAATATATTTTGAAACTATTATCAAGGAAATATTATTTGTTAAGGATAACCAGCATATTGAGAAAGTAACTAAAAAATAAGAAATATTCCTTTGATGATTACTAATAACATATTTACATATTATACATATTAACATATATATATTTATTTAATAATAACATATTTACTTGTATCAATATACATATTTTTACATTGAGAAAAAATTTCTTCCAATTAATTTGAATAGGAATTTAACAAACTTGCCGAGAATAAAAAGACATTCGAAATTCTATTCGAAATTTAGCCCGACATTCATACTTTGTCATCATTTGACAAATTATAGTCTGATAATTATAGTACCGTGAATCATTGATTATCCGTCAACTTGTCTTTATTTCATACAACAAGAAATAATTCAAATAGAAAAATAACAGTTTATAAATATACGAATCTATAATTAACTATGCTCTCAATTAAACATTAAAAATATTTACACTACTATTAATATCAACCTCAGAATCTAGGATAAATCCTACTAATTCTACTGTTTTTTGCGTCTAATAACTAACTCAAGTGAATCTCAAGTTTAACGGGTTTTCTCATTTCTGTTTAGCCTTGTTATTATACCATATTATTGTATTCAATTTTAGATATCTATACACGATATTATTAGACACATAATTAATAAAACATATATTTTCTTAAACCTATTGCTTTTCATTGAAATAACTATTTTATTTAAACAAAAGAATTGAGATTTACATAAATATTATTAGTACCAACCAAATAAATATTTTTTTTATTTTTCAGATACTTTTTTTCTCAGTGTACTTAAGGGAATGCTGGAGTCGATGATGAAATCCAAAGATATCGATGAGGCAATCGTCACTAACCCAATCACGCTATTCTTTTCGTATTTCTTGTGCATATCGGTCTTACGTAAATTTGTGTTGCCAAATTAAATGTATGTTGTTATATTGTTTTATCATATTTAAAGAAAAACCTAATCACATACACATTTATAGGAATCTTTCTGCAAACTTTTTCAATATTTTTAAGCTTCTAAATTCAAATATAAAGATACAGCAATATTCTCTGAAAATGTTCTGAGCGAAGCAAACTCGCGTTCAGTACATACAAGCTACAGATCTTTGTATTGAGCGAATATTTACTGTAACTGATAGCGTCTGACAAGTTAATTTACATTCGAGATGTCAACTTTGAAATTTCTTATCATTTCTGTCATGTATTGAGCAATATTCCGGCTCATTCTCGCACGTATTTTTATTGCGTAAGAACATTTGTGATGCTTTGCAGCCAGTACAACGTAAACTTAGCAGAAAAAGCGAGTATTCTGTCGGTAAAAAGGTTTCGACTCCAGCATCTTCTCTTAGAGGAAGAAAAGTAAACTGAGAGAAATCGCCTGTCTTGGCAGTAGAATGATATTTTTCTGTGTGCACCTCGAATATTAATTAGGCCCAGAGTAATCTCTCTCTGTCTCAGCCCGCAACAAATCGATCAAAGACAAATTGCCTTGTCCTCCTGACTGACTCGTACTTGAGCATGACCTGTCGGTTGCTTCCTCTGTTCCTCAGCGATGCCTTACGGGATGCTGCCGGTACTGGAGATAGACGGCAAGCCAATAGCGCAGAGCAACGCCGTGGCGCGTTACCTGGCTCGCGAGCACAATCTCGCAGGCAAGGACGAATGGGAATCGATGCTGTGCGACGTGCTGGTCGATACTTTGGGGGACTTGAAGCAATGTAAGTGACACGCGTCTCCCGATGCGCAGCCTGTAACGAAGCGGGGCCAGCTTCTGCGAAAGCTGCTTACGACCGTATCTCCTGGCGCCAAATCGACGTGTCTCACGTTACAAATCTCCCTCAAGGGAGATCCCACGCGGTCGCTTATTTTTCGCAAACGACGGAACTCGGGGAGGGACTGGGAGAGTCACCCGCGCGCCGTTCGATTTCAATTTCATCGAGCGAGTCCACGCGATCGATAACGTCTCGATGACGTCCGCGCTTTCGGCCTCTCGTCGTGAAAATCGCCTCGTCGAAAATCGAGACAGCAGAGTTCGTGGAATTCCTCGAAGCCGGGATAGAGGAAGGGAAAGAGTGTTGCACGGGCAATGCGCCTTGCGATATAAAATTCTGGGAAAATTCTGACGCGACGGGGACGGGCGCAAAACTCCTTCCGCTTTCCGCTTCTCTGAAAGACACGCGTCTCTCTCTCTCTCTTTCTCCCTCCCCTTCTCTCTCTCTCTCTCTTTCGCGTGACCTATTTTCACTGGGGTTCCGATATAATCGAGCGGATGCTACCGACCGTCATGGAAGAGCTTTTCGCGAGATGCCGCGTGTTACGTGCATGCGATACCACATTGGACCGTCGCCAGCGTAATCCCAAATAATAATACGTAACATCCAATTAGACACCTTAATGAGACATTTTAATGGTGCGGTTAGGGGAGACCGGGGCTCCAGGTATATATCGCTCATGTGCTTTTTTGGTATTTATTTTGAGAGAAATATTGGGTACAAAATCGCGAAATGATCTTTTTGGAACATAAATATTTTTCTCCGAGTTTTATTAAATTCGGGATAATATCATAGTTAAGAAATAGAAAAAAAACTGATTTGGTAATAGCAAAGTAAACTCTTTTTTTTATTTATTACGCTGCTAAACCCACTTGAGTTATCAGCGAAGAAAATATGATACAAAATATTTTACGTCGGAGCAGAAATCAAATATTGAAAGAAAAAAAATAAGTAAGCAAAGTAAACTTTCGAGTCTCTCGAAATATTGTATTAATACCCAAACACCACAGATCTCCACAGGACATCCATATAGACGTTCTGAGAACACCCCTACGTCCTGAAAATGTTCCCAGAACATCCCCTAAACTCTTTTTTTTATTTATTACGCTGCTAAACCCACCTGGGTTATCAGCGAAGAAAATATGATACAAAATATTTTACGTCGAAGCAGAAATCAAATATTGAAAGGAGAAAAAATAAATAAGCAAAGTAAACTTTCGAGTCTCTCGAAATATTGTATTAATACCCAAACACCACAGATCTCCACAGGACATCCATATAGACGTTCTGAGAACACCCCTACGTCCTGAAAATGTTCCCAGAACATCCCCTAAACTCTTTTTTTTATTTATTACGCTGCTAAACCCACCTGGGTTATCAGCGAAGAAAATATGATACAAAATATTTTACGTCGAAGCAGAAATCAAATATTGAAAGGAGAAAAAATAAATAAGCAAAGTAAACTTTCGAGTCTCTCGAAATATTGTATTAATACCCAAACACCACAGATCTCCACAGGACATCCATATAGACGTTCTGAGAACGCCCCTACGTCCTGAAAATGTTCCCAGAACATCCTCTAGAGATTTTGTGCTGTCTGGGTATTCTCCATCGTAACTGAATAAAATTACTTACATTACGTTGTTACTAACTAGAACAAAATTTCTTGCAAGTGTATGATATACTGTTTCTGGTAATAAATACAATTTTCATTCATAAAATGATTAAAATAGAGCATATGGGCGGATGAAGTAAAGTTGGCTCATAATTAAAAGCCGACAGGGAGATCTCTTGCGGAGATTTTAGAACTACTAATCAGGATACGTATTTTATACGTAGTCTTCTTTATCCTACGATACTGGGCAATTAACCCGGTACCAGGAAAAGATAGCTTTGTTACCGTAAATTCATATTTTAGTTATTACAAAACAAAATATATGCACGGAAAAAAATAATTTTCAGCAACAAACTAATTTGCTACATATGGACAGTTAAATATAACTCGTATTAGCTACTTTTTCTTTGCTGCTATTTTTTTGCTATGATAACAAGAAAATCTGCTCCTACAACAAGAAAAGTGGTTAACAAATTTGCTACAGATGGACAACTAAACATAATTCAGCTACTTTTTTTATTACAGGAGCAGATTTTCTTGTTATAGTAGCAAAAAAATTGGCTCCTGCAACAAAGAAAAAGTAGCTAATACAGCAAATTATTTAGTTGTCCATATATAGCAGATCTTTTCTTTCCGCGCGGTTAATAGGATCGTGGTGGACATTAATACGTATATAGAGAAAAATAATTTGCTGACCCAGCAAATTTTCTGCTGGTCTAGCAAAACCTTGTCGTTATTATATGGACAGTAAAAAGATTTGCTAAGAATATTAATCACTATTTGCTGAATATAATTTGCTGAATCTATAAATTATTTTGCTATAAGAACCATGATGGATTTATATAAGCAGTTGCAGTTTTGATCCGATAGCAAATAAATCTGCTAAAGATACATTATTTTGCATCAATAGCAAATTAACGTGATTCTTAGGACAAATACACTCAACAAATTTTTTCTATTCTGGCGACGAACTACTTCTACTCTGATAATGAATAATTTGTAACATTAATTACGTCAAATAGTACTAAAAATTTTTTTGCTGTCACTACGAATATGCAATAGCGACGACGATTTTGCTAAAAGAGCAAAATTATTTTTCTCCATATAGAAGAAGGTTGCCTCTATCATATTTATACAATCAGGTAATAATTAGTTATCTGAGAAAGTTGTAACCCCAAAATCCTATAATATAAAACATCTAGCCCCGGTCTCCCCTACTGGACCGCGTCCACTACTTCCGCCTGACTTGGTCGTTATTTTATTTAGTCACTCAACGAGAACGGTTCTTACGCAATTCGCAATTTAACCGGATACTTACGATGATGTCGTCGATCACGACGTGCTTTACTTTTTTGGTATGGAAGAAGGAAACTTCGTGGTGCAGCGAGAAGTCACTAAAGCTCCGCGCGCGGTCTACTTTCCAGTTATTTTTCAATATCGCACGGAGGAGGATCTCTTTAAGAAGGAGGAGAAGAAGGTGAAGCTTCTAAAGGAAACAATACCGTTCTACCTAAATAAGTTCGAACAGACTGTCGCTGAGAACGGCGGTTACGCGGTGGGTTCTACGGTAAATGTTCCATTATTTTAAGATCAATAACCTTGTATTCTTTAAATCTCTTGGAATGGAATCTCACTCAAAACGAGTGAAGAGTGGTATTCTCGCTCGAAATGATAGTGAAAATATTGTCACTCGAAATCCGAAAAGTAAATTTTTGTTCAAACTTAATCTGAGAGAAAATGTTTGTAACTATAATTACATAGAAAAAATAACTGCTAGAAAAATTATGACTAAAAAAAGCATTTTTTATTCAATTCTTATTCTCTTATTTGAATTCTAACTTAAATTATATTTTAATGTTAATGTTAATGATTATAACCTTATACTACATGTTATTGCTATTATTTTCATGTTAGAGCAGTGAGAAAATATGGTAGAAGCCAAAAATAACTATAATTTCAGTTAGATTAAATATTTCTTTCTTTCAGTGTAGAATGGATTCTAATTCCAAATGAGTGAAAACGTTTTAATCAAAAGTGAAAATGTCTCAGTGACAATGGAGTATATTAGATTCACTTTTCGATTTTCAATGAAAATCGAAAAGTTCACACGACGATTCAGAATGGAGAATTCATCCTATGTGTGAAAAATCACTCGAATTCGAATAAAGCATTAATCATCCTTTCCGAGTGAAATTTTACTTCGAGAAATTTAGAAAATGATACAATAATGACATGAATATATAAATGCATTTTGCTCTGACACAGAATTTCAGGTTCTTATGAATTAAATTTAGTTCTTGAGAATCAAAATTCCGTTCTCTTTAGTCAAAACGCATTTAGCTTATTCGGACTGAGAACTTACTTTAAACTTGAGTGAAATATTTACTCTTGCGATTTCGCACGAAAAACAAAGTTTAATTGTATGAACGTGACGTTTAGTCGTATTTGATTTTAATGAACGAACCAACACGTTTTGCTTCCACTAAAACGCGTTGGTTCATTTATTACAATTATAAACTTCGTATTAATATAACTAAACTTTTATTTTCGTGCAGTATTTTTACTGTTACTTCGAGTAAAAATAATTGTCATTCATTTTGAGTGAGATTTTATTACAAAGAAATGTAGAGATCATGTCACGTTAATTTCTATTAATCTTTGTTGTCTGTACTCTCCGAATTTCTTTAGAGTGAAATCTCACTTAAAACGAGTGAAAAGCAACAATATTTTTACTCCAAGCGATAATGAAAATGTTGCCATTCAAAATCACAGGAGTAAATGTTTCACTCAAGCTTGCATTAGATTCCAACTCCAAAAGAGTAAATATTTACATCGTTTAGAGTAAATATATTCCCGCGATAATGGGGTATATATCAGATTCGCCTTTTAAAATTTCGAACGAAAATATTTACTCAACGATTCAGAGTGAAGAATTCACTTTGTACGAATGAAAGATCATTCGAATCTGAGTGACTCGGTGGTCACTTTTCGAGTGAGATCTCGCCTCAAAAAATTTAAAGAGTACTTGCTACATACACACACAGACATACACACAACATAATTCAATGTTCTCCTTATTGCGAAAGCAATCAAAACAAAGGTTCGAATGGCGCACGAAAAACAATGTTTAGTCGTATAAACGTTAAGTTTGATTTTAATGAATGAACCAACGAGTTTTAATTCCACTAAAACGCGTTAATATATTTATTACAATTATAAACTTAGTATTAATATAATTAAACTTTAACAAGTATCGAGAATTGTGTGGATTTCCTCTCTCTTTAAATGACACGTCAAACGTTGTCTCGTTGTTGTCGTAGCGCGCAAAACTCACGAACGTCTGTTTCACGATTGAGCCTCTCTGCAATAACCAGTACGCTTTTCAGACCACGTGGGCGGACTTCGTGTTCACGGTGGCGTTGGAAAACTTCGAGAATATTTTCGGCGCGACAGCGTTGGACAACTACCCGGCGTTACGCGACCTGAAGAAACGAGTGCACGAAATTCCCGCTATCGCCGACTGGCTGGCCAGGCGACCCCATTCGGAGTTCTGAAATGTCGTCACCACGAAAAACGACGGGAGGGACGCATCGACATCAAAAAAAAGTACATATCTGCACTCCTCCGGCTCATTATCCCGCATTCCCGTGGCAACGGCAACGAGTGAAACGTGTCTCGCGCGTTTCCCGAGGAAAGATTCACATTATTACCCGTACTTTGCACCCTCGCTCAGATAAAACTGCAAATATCTCGCTTGCGACTCGGCATTAAAAGAAAGAGGATTTTAAAAGGTACACTGCGTCGTAAAACTCATTTCTGCCTCGTTATAAGTTTGACACGTTTACGTCCCGCGCACGACAATACACCGCGGAAATCTATATAGCACCTCTCTCTTCCACCATCACCCCTCCTCCCCGCAGAGAATTTCTCGTTAAGTTCACTTTTGTGAGGATGAGAAAAAGAGAGAGAGAGAAAGAGAGAGAGAGAGAGAGCAGAGGAAAGGAAGGAGAAAGCAAAGGAACGATCGCTTTTACCACCCCGACCATCTTAGAAAAGCAATTTTAACGCACACGTGAGCCGCAAATCTCCGCGCCTCGCTGATCGATCTCGGTCTGCTTACGACTCAATTTGTTTTCGCATTGCTGGTGATTGTACGGAAGAAAATCAAAGGAATTAAACTTAAGGGACTGCTGTCGAATGTCGAGAGTGTAACGAAGCTTATATTCAATGTGTTCATCATCGTGCATCGTGCGTGTATACGTGTATGCGTGAGCGGTGCATTGCTACGTACGATTTCCATTGCGCGCGCGTCGATAGAGAATGTCGAGATTAAATGTAACGAGATAAGTGCGTCGGGAACGAATCCCGTATCTCGCGATGTAATCAATACACTTGTTCCTTACACAGAGGCGGATAAACCGCTCCGCTGGTTCCCTATTTTCCCTCTATTTTGTTTTCAACGAAATCAAATCGAATCGGAGCGTGGCGACCGGAGTACGATACAATAAACAGGGTAACATTAAACGCGCGAAAGGCAGAAAAAAAATATATATATATCGAACGAGATGAGATCTTATCGTAATAAACAATACGAAAAAAATTGAATTTGTATATCACGATGATAAACATTCGTTTTTGTCGCGACGAAGAAGAGAGAGAGGAAGAAAGAGAGAACGAGAGCGCGTATAGTAACTTGATAAACGTACCGAGTAAGATTTTAGTAGCAACGCACCGTATCAAACGTGATATCGAGCGGAAAGATGTGCTTTTACCGTATAAATTCATTGTTAGAAAAGAGAAATGTCAGGCAAATAACAGCGGACTTTCTAAAAATGCGCCGCGATACAGAGATAATAACGAGCTTTGCGAGCTTTCATTGACGCTTCATTGAAGAACGTACTCGATGTACGGTAACACAGTCAATTGTAATTATCAAACAAGATAGAGAGAGAAGGGAGAATTAGGAGAGAAAAATATTATATATATAATTATATATGTCTAAGCGCGGATGTGTATGTGCTACGTTGTATGTAATATTAAGTGTAACGTTAAGTGTTGAGATTATAGATGTAATATAAATGTTATTGTGGTTATAAGAGATGGTATGACTGATAATAATAACGTGACACGAACAAGCGTGGTTCTCATTTCAGCCTCTGTTTCCACATTGCATTCAGAAAAAATATTTAAAAAATAGAAAATATTTAATCGATGGGTACTAATATATTTACTCAAAACTAAATTCTTTTATTTAGATAGGATAGAGTTTTTCTTATTTGAAAGATATTTTATATTAGTGTAAGTAAAAATATTATTAATACCCAGCATGAATAAATATTTTTCATATTACATATATATATATATATAAATATATATATATATATATATATATATATATATATATATATATATATAT